GGAACAGGCTGCCCAGAGAGGTGGTGGAGTCCCCATCCCTGGAAGAGTTAAAAAAACAGGTAGACATGGCACTTTGGGACATGGTTTAGTGGGCATGGGGGTGTTGGGTTGATGATTGGAATGATGATCTTAGAGGGCCTTTCCAACCTTGATGATTCCTGGTTTTTACTTTCATTATAAATGATCCAGCCACCAAGCCAGGAGGCATGGGGTTGCTACTCTCCCCTTAACTGGTTTAGTGGTGGACTTGGTAATGTTTGGTTAATGGTTGGACTGGATGATCTTAAAGGTCTTTTCCAACTTAAATGATTCTATGATTCTACTCTCCGTGCGCATCCCAAGGTGGCTGTATCAGGAGCAGATGAACCAGGCAGGAACCCAAACATCCCCTTTATCTGTGCTCTCTAAAGCAATATATGGAAAACATGCAGATTAACCAGCACAAGAGTGTGCTTAATTGTGACCTTCGTTTCGTAATTTTTTTTTTTTAGTTACTAAGCCAGGCATCTTGGCACTCATTTTGCTTTTTCTTATTGTTCATGTCTTGGTCTGTAAGAAGAATTACTGATTTCCTCACAGGCTTTTTTTTTTTACCCTCATTACCATCACATTCTGAATGCTGCACAAATACTAATTGATAATTTTTTTTTCCCCAAGTACACAGAAATGATCCTCATGTTGCAGACAGGAAAGGGTGGCAGAGATTGGGGGATGAAGGGTGGAGCTATCTGTGAATGCTGGCTGCTCGGTCCAGTGCTCAATCTCATTTCTTCCACTCGCACATGATTTATTTCCTTCTGCCATCACCGGACCCGATGCAGCTCTCCCCTGCAGCTAACGAGTTTTGCTTTCTGCTAAGACCTTTGATACAAGATGAGAGTGACTGCTGACTCGGGGGAGCATCGCTGGTGCACTGCTGCGGGGTCAGTGCTGGTTCACCATGCCAGGAAAGGGCAGAGGAGACGACTAGCTGCAGCTCACCCGTGTTGTCTCACCTCTGCATTCCAGTGTGACTGTAACACACTGTACCAAAACCGATGAAAATACATTGCCTTTATGTCGTACTTGTGCAGTGCAAATGGAAAGTAAAAGGGACAGCATGACTGTGATGCTCCTTAGAGTCTTCAGTCTCCTTTGCAGCACAGGTAACAGTAATAGACAGATGTAGACAGGATAAAGGGCTTTTTTACCTTTTTTTTTTTCCTCCTCCCAGGTTTCCGTAGGCTCAGCCTTTAAAAAATTGTGGTCCAGTCATCAGAATAGTTTCTTTAATTTTAGAAGGTTTTAAGAGAAACTCGTCAGCTGCTGATATTTGCTACAGCTAAATTAGGAGCTTGCAGTTCACCCAGCTCATGAACACAGAAGAGATCAAATCACAAACTTTGGCTCTATGTGAAATACCCAGGGATCTTCACTTTAATCCTAGTTTATTCCATACATTATAAAGCATACTGCTCTATCCCAACTAAAAAATAAAACTGTCAAATCCAGTTTAGTACTTTCTCTACCTTAAATACTTCAATTCCTAGCTAATGCCTTTACTGAAAGACTGTTTCATTGCTGTGCTATTGTGACCTGAAGATCTTGCATCCTGCCCAAACACGTGTGCACTAGCTTCAGGCTGCTGGCAGGGGCCGCTGCCTTCTAGTCCAAAATAATATTCTGAGTAGACCAAGGTCAGAGCCTCTTGCTTGTCACCGGAGGCCTGATGCTTTCTCCCCTTCCAGTAAGGAAGGTATTTAAGGATTCCCCCGTTAATGGTCCATTGGTCTCAAACTGGCCTGTCCAGCTGCCATCAGTCTCTTCCCTTTGTTTGCACAAGATCAGCAGGATGCACAATCCCAGGCAGCTGCTGAGCGCTTCGTTGCTTATGAGCATTTTTATTCCCTCACATTGCCTTATTTACCTGAGGATTTGGTTCTAGATGACAGTGTAGTACCAAAGACTCCAGCAGTGATTGCAGCAGAGCTGTTACCTTGCAAAGATGTTGCCTAGCCCAGTTGAAAATGTACAAAAAAACCCCATTAGCAGCTACACAAACACAGGGGATGGCATGAAACTGATGGTAGGTGGTGACCAGCCTAGAGCTGTTGTAGTTTTAAAAGTGAAAAAGCCCTTTGTTTGCGAGCAGATACCAGATGTAGCTCAGTTTTGGATTCACCTTTGGTATTGATGAAGATTTCAGCTAATTATTCCGAATTAATCCTACGTTACAGTGAGGTCTGGAGTATAAATTTTACACGAGTTCATTGATTGTGGGCATGTAAGTACTGGTGTCGCGTTGTGTGTTCTGTCAGGTGCTTATGACCGATTCCTACCGTATATCCTGATGGGAAGCCTGACTGTGCTGATCGGGATCCTTACCCTGTTTCTCCCGGAGAGCTACGGCAATCCCCTGCCTGAGAGCTTTGAGGAAATGCTGAAGGTGAAATGGTAAGGCGGCTGTCGTTCATCCCACGCTTCACAAGAATTCGGGAATTCCTTCTACATAGTCCCTTTTCCCAATCAGTAAACGTGTGTCATGAGATCCACTGCAAAACATCAAAGCTTTCAAAGAGCCCTTTAGCATTTTTTTTTTTTTTTGGTGGATAATTTGACAGACATGGACATTATGCAGTTTCTCCAGAATCTCTGAACCCGAGAGCTGATGCGCTTGAAAGCGGGCACTCGCAAATCAAGGCTGACCTTCACATCACCTTGAGACTGTTGCTTCCTATCTCCCAGCTTTCCATCCTTTGAGATCATTCACGCTCCTTAACTCTTCATTCAAACTATTAATTGAGTAGGATGATCTACATTACGAACCACTTTACTCTTCAGTGTAAGTTCATTGGGTACTGCTCCAAATTAAACGCAGGATTTCAATATTCTAGCCTCTTTAATTCGGGAGGCTAGAGACACGCCAGGACGGCTTTTCTCCTGGTTTATTTTGTTTAGCTATAAGCAGTGACAGTTCTCTTGCCCCACCAGCACTGCTATTCAGGGTACCCTGAGCGAACACCTCCGCTGAAATGCGTGCGCGTACCTTGTAGTGCTGGTGCAGTGGAGATGGCCAGCGCTCGCGAGTGCCTATCGTGGGAGGAAAACTCTGGGGAGCAGCAGAGGGAAACTGAATTAGGCAAAGTGCAGCTGCATAGCTACCATCCAGCTTAGTGACAATTTGCACTGGAACAGAATTTGCCCTCATAAGCAGTAATAGCTTGAAAAAGCTGGAATTGCCTGTATCTAATTCCTGGTGGGCACAAGGAGCTGTCATCATGCTTCCAGAATAAGAAGAATTCTCAGGCCAGGCTCCTTGAGAAGGGCATGCTGCTCTTTATCGCAATTAGGGACTTCTCATATGGCTGACCTATGGCTTTTTGGCTTTGCAGTTGACGACCTGTGGCTAGAAATCCTACAGTCAAACCAGATTCCCCTCGCAGGCTTCTTGCATAAACAGACTGAAGTAACTGAATTACAGTCACTGAATTATGTTCCATTGTTTGCTGCACTGCCTCTGCCACCCGGAAAGGCGTGCTTTACAGAGCGCTTGGGTTATTTTTCTAGTGTTCGTATTAGTAGTGTAACATGGTTATTTTAGCAGTGCTAATTAGGAGGGAGAAGCGTCCGATGACGCGCTGTAAAATGTTCTCTAACGTCTCAAGTCTTTTACTCGCTTTCAGTTTCAGAAACGGGCAACAAACCACTGGCATTAGGAATTCAAAGGAGAGTCCTAAAATTCTGGTAACGCCCTTGTGAAGAAGGACGCACGCTCTCAGAGGGGCTGAAAGAAGAACAAGATCGTCTCAAAATGCATTTTCTGCCGGAGGAAAACAACCAAAACCCAACAGTCAGCGCTGCTGCACCATAGTTATTATCCCCTGTGCTGCTGTACCCAAATACATAGTTTACTGAACAGATGCTGTCTACTCCCCTAGGACTCTTAGCCTGCAATTCCATGTCCTGATAGCTGGGGTTTGTCAGCAGGCAGCAGTCCCTGCTGAGAAATGGGGGCCTGCCGGTGCTAAACACCATCGGAGGAGTAAGCTAGAAACGAGCCTTAGGAATAATACAGCACGAACTCCAGTCAGTCAGGTACGGAATGAAAGCTGCTTAAAGGAAAAAAAAAAGATGGCAAACGTAACGCTGGTGTTTTTTCTTCCCGTGCGTATTGACTGGAGGGGAGCTGGGTGGTTGTCTTTGAAAATCTCAGCTCGCGCTGCTAAAGGAAAGATCCCGGCCTCCGCTGGAATCTGTGACCAAAGCCCGATAGACTAAGCGGGACCAGAATTTAGTCGTGGCAAAGCAGACGTAGACTTCACTGTAAGGACGTGTGTTTTAAACATCGGAGTTATCTTTTGATGTCGCTTGCTTTTCCCAGGACCCACCTGTCCCTGTAAAAACTGGTGCTTTTTCGTAACGCCCGAGCCCGCTGAAATCCTTGGGCTTCACGAATGTTCAGTGTCTGAGGACGGGGGGAAGCCTTCAACACCACAACAACTACAGCTTGCTGACCTGATGGGCCATGCCCGCTTTCAAAAGAAACACGGGCTCTAGCAAGCCAATGACCCTATCCAACATGCCATGCAGTTTTAGCTTTCAGGTTTTTCATGGTATATTGGCATAAACAGTTTTTTAGCTCTTTCGGGTTTTTTTTTTCCCCCAAGCATTTCATTTCTCCTTTGAATATATACCACATATTCTGTACCTTCGGAGAAAGCTCACTGCACTTTCAAAAGCCTCTGCAAAACCTTTGCACCATTTACAAATTTAAAGGGGGTTTCATGCTTGCAAAAAGCCGATGTTGTGTACTGGAGACGTTCACGTGCAGCTGTTAAAAATGCAAAAGGGCTAATTTGGGACCACAGCTTTTTCAAAACAAACCAAAACAAAATCCAACAAAGTTCTTTTTCAAATCCTACAGGTTATGTATGCATTTTTTAAAAGTTCAGCAAAGCTAGATTGGATGGAGACACAAATGTAGAGCTTAGAGTTGTGCTACTACTGTTTTATGAACACTACATAGTTTGAAAAAAGTATAATACCTTTTATTTTTCTATTTATTGGCTGTGCATGCACTTCTTGGCCACATAAAGTCTATCAGACCTGGCAGACTGATTTTTATCCTCTACAAATAACAATTAGCCATGAGTCACCTTCTGTAAGGGCCAACAAAAGCACGCTGTCTCCTCTTTAATGTGAAGCTCATGGCAAGGTGTCTTGTGCTGGCACTTGGCACAAGAATGCGGCTCTCCCTGTAAGTTCAAGCACAAACGTAAAGCTTTTAAATAGCATTTAAATGCAAGGAACTTGGGCAATTATTTCAAGCTGCTCTTTGGGATGTGGAAATACTATTTACTTCCATATTCATTTTCTGCAGTTACGCTTTTGCCATAAATGTCATGTGGCATGAGGCAACCATTACCCTGTGATCCCTGATGTTCTCATCCCTCCTCAGGCTGGAATTCCTCTAATAGCAGTATTTAATCTTGGTTTTACTTATTACAAAGTTAATCTATAGAATAGCTGTTTAGACATAACTAAATTTCTCAAGAAAGCCTTTATATCAGCGTAGGACAGGTTTGAGGACTTGGTTAAATACAGGTGGCCATATTTTTATGAAGATTTTTATATTAAGTTGCTACTTATTTTATATGCTCCTAGGCTTGGGTATTTCTAAAAGGTACATATTTTTGTACTCTTGAACTTTGTAGTATCTTGAAACCTAGTTTTCCTTTTTTAAATAAGAAAAAGGGTTGGTTTGTTTTTTTTAAATACCTTGGGTTTTAATCAGTCCCATTTTTCTTGCTTATACCATTGATCTCAAGTTAGTGTCACATTTTAGTATTTTTAATGGCAGATTTTTAAAAAAAAAAATTAATTTTTTTTTTTAAAAAAATCTTTCATGAGAGTGGAATGCCTTTCTGGAAAGTACGTGATGTTATTATAAGGCCTTACAGTGTCTGGGCGTAGTAAAAATGAGAAAAGGAGATCGCTTCAGCTGCTGAAGCATTTGCAAGAACTGCTGTCCTCTGCCAGGATCTTTCCCAGGCTCGAATAGGGATTTCTGACAAACCCCAAAGAGCGATAGTCTGCGGAAGAATCAAACAGGGATGAATCTGGAGGGCAGGAGTGCCCATTTCTGGCGTTCCTATATTTTTAATTGTAAAGCTGAAGAGGACAGCAGTGGTTTAGTAGCTATTGGCAGAAGTCGCATTGATTCCTGGCGAGCTATTTCAGCCTCTCACGGCAATCTCAGTGGGTTTTCTGCGTGCCAGGTACGCGGCGGGGCTCGGCGCGGGGCTGGGGGTGCCTGTGATGCTCTGACCTGGGGTGGGAGGGATCCGCTGGATCGCTCCCACTGAGCCCGGGGCCGCTGCGCCGTGCCTCAGCCACGGTTGCTCGGGTCTTTTGTGCAACCTTTGATCCTCAGCCGCCCTTCTGGACCCGCGAAAGCATATCTGAAACTGTACTAATTGTCACTCCTTAACTTCTGTCTTCGTTGTGATAAAAATGTGCACTGGCGTTTGTATAACCTGCTTTCCACGTGGATTGTAACGGAAGAATAAAGTCTCCTAACGTTTAACACCTTGGGCAAAGAAGTTTAGAGAAGTAATTTAAAATGTCTTTCGCGTGGATGAAGTACGCACAGAAAACCCTAAAATAAGCTCTTCCACAAATAAGCTCTTCCACGCGGGAAGACTGTTAGGGTAGGACAGTTTTCCTGGCTTTCAGATGGTTCAATCCTGACTCTGTGATCCTACGAAGCCCTGGGCACAGACCGGGGCCAGGCTCAAGGATGATTTTGAGGTTTAACTTCTATTTTATCCATTTCATTTCCCACCTTTGAGATTTTTCACAGCTGTGCGATTCCAACATGCAACGAAAGCTCTTTTGAAATATAAGCATTCAAAACGGCTGTAAAAGGTATACATTGGGCTTTTATCAATTAGAGGTGGAGAAAATATCGGACACAAAAAGCCAGTCGGAAACGCGAATTAACCTTATTCGGGCAAGGCCAATTTCTGCAGTGATAATCACGCAACTTCTTAGCTGAGCTCAATGGGAGACACGATCTTCCTGACAGTGCCGCTAGGCAATGAGCTGGGATTTTTGGCCTAAGAATAGAATATTTATTACATTTATTGTGGCACACATAGTACACATTCCCTCAGCAAATAGCATCATTGTCAGCAAAACCTTTTTACAGCCACAACCCCGCTGAAGGGATGATGGAAGCCGTGGGGAAGGTGCTGCTGCAGACAGAAACAAGGCGAGGAACCGGTTAACGCTTGGACTTGCAGAAAGCTGCCTGCCTTTGATCACGGGGAGAGCAAAGCCACCGGTGAAGGCTCTCGGCTCATACGCGCTGACAACCCAAACCAAGGCCTTAGCCAAGAACCCCGCGCTGGCTCACTGGTAACGTGCAGCTGAGCCCTGGGTGTTGCAGGCAGCTGAACAACTAGCGGTAGGATGAGAGAAAATGGGCTCAAGTTGCGCCAGGGGAGGCTTAGATTGGGTATTAGGAAAAATTTCTTCACGGGAAGAGCGGTCAAGCATTGGAACAGGCTGCCCAGAGAGGTGGGGGAGTCCCCATCCCTGGAGGGGTTCAAAAAACGGGCAGAGGTGGCACTTGGGGCCATGGTTTAGTGGGCATGGGGGTGTTGGGTTGATGGTTGGGCTGATGATCCTAGAGGGCCTTTCCAACCTTAGCGATTCCTGGTTTTTACTTTCATTAAAAATAACCCATCCACCAAGCCAGGAAACATGAAATTAATTATGACTCTCCCCTTAACTGGGTTTTGTGGTGGACTTGGTAGTGTTAGGTTAATGGTTGGACTGATGGTCTTAGAGGTCCCTTCCAACCTTAGTGATTCCCAGTTTTACTGTCAGTAAAAAACAATCCGGGAAACATGAAATGAATTATGACTCTGCCCTTAATTGGTGTAGCGGTGGACTCGGTAGTGTCAGGTTAATGGTTGGACTGGGTGATCTTCAAGCTCTTTTCCAACCCCAACGATTCCATGAGTCTATGACGGTTCATCTCAAGCCCGGTTTGAGCCCTCTGGGCATATAATAAGGGATAAGGGAATATATATAATAAGGAGTAAGGGACCGGACGCCTCTATTAAGGGGCTGCCCCCCACGAGGAGTCACCGGGGGGCAGGGGCCGGGCAACCCGTGGGGAGCTGCGAAGCGGCCCCGGGCCATGGCGA